CTTGTGAATACTCTGTACATAATTGATATGCCTTACTTGGACATCTCTGATGGAGAAAGTGCTGATGGAGCTACCCATCCTTGATACTCCTGAGCCGGAGCTGGTGCAGTGTTTTCCAGGTAGCCAGAGACTGGCTGATCAATGATTGTGCCTAAGATTTTATCTTGGGGAGTGTCCACATCTTCAATGCTGAGATGCTGCAAGGTCAAGGGGCTCTTTCCACCTTCATAGACAATGTAGGACTGCCCCACTGAGACCTTGGGGGCCACATTGTCCACAAGCAGCACAGTCACTTGCACCTGCACCCTCTTCTGTATGCTGTCCCCCACCACCCATTGATAAAAATCCTTGCAGGAGGTGAGGTTAAAGGTATCATGCTGTTTTTGGAAGCCAACTTCACCTCCAGTGTGGACATAGGCTACTGCCCCACTAACGAGATCCTCTTGGGTGAATTGTTCCATGGGCACACCATTCACCAGAATGGTGCCCATTTTGGGGCTGTCCTCTAAAATAAGAGTCAGCATTGAGTCACTTGTGCCCTTGTTTTTGTCATGGATGATGTCCATGGTGATCTCAGTGGCTCTATTCTCTAGTACATCTATGGAGACATCCAATAATGGACTACCTGTGATAGAGATCCTAGGACTTCTGTTAGCAGTGGGATGCACAGAAATCTGGACAGTGATGTGTACATGGAGTACCCTGTCACTTACCTCTAGCTCGAAGTTATCACTTGTAGTCTGGTCTCTGCCATGCTGATAAGAGACACTTCCATTAACAATACCAGCTCTTATAAATGATTCTCCTGGAACCATATGTTTTTTCAAGTACTGCAAGTGTCCATGTTGGGGACCCCAGATTAACATGAAGATGGTCTGGTCAGCATCTGTGTCAGGATCTGTAACATCCAGCTCATTACTGCTGAGGATAAAGCTGCTTCCCTTCAAGACAGTAAAGCCTCTGTTAGTGACTTGTGGAGGCTGGTTGTTCAAAGGCTGCAGGAATAATGTGAATGTTCCTGGTACACTATTGCCTGCAACATCCTCCACCTGGTAGGTGAATTGCACAACCCGGAGTGCAATATCCCGCTTTGTCTGGGGAGGCTGGTAGGCAACTTTTTGGTGATTTAACTGGGCTTGGGTAAAGTGCACAATGGGTGTGTCTGGTGCATCAGTGAACACAATTTCTCCAAATGGGACTTAGTGGTTGTCATTTGTGTCAGTTGGAGGTGTCAGTAGGGTGTACCACAGGTTCTGGTCATCTGAATCTTGGTCAGTGTATTGGAGGAATTTCTTCTGCAAGTGAGTGAGTTGGTATTCTTGCGCATTCATTTTTAGAGTAGTTCCAGGATATAGCTCTGGACTCAGCAGGTCTACTGGCTGAACCTTGATAATGAAAAGGTGCTGGTTGGATAGATTGGGTGGGTCGTAGTCGTTTTGCACATGGAAAGTCAGGTGGGTTGCTACAGATTGAGGGCTGTGGGGTCCAAGATGGCGGTAGAAGAGTCTCCCTTCTGTTATATCTCGCTGTAGCCACTCAGTCACCACCTTCTCATAAAGTCCTTTCTTTTCCACATAATGCCACTCTTCATCTATGGGAGACAGAGGTGGTTCAGCCTGCTGCAACAGCATCTCCCTCCGATGCTGGCTTAAGTGGGAAGAACCAGTGGCCTGCTCCCAACCACTTCCTCCCTCTTCTACTTCCATAGACTGATTCTCCAGCACAAAGCTGCTGGTTGAGTCCTCAGAGTCAATATCTTTAGCACTTAGGGCAAAGGGGGAGATCTGGACCACCTGTCCTTCGGCTAGTGATAGTCTCATGTTGGCAATGACTACTGGTGGCTCATTGTCAACAGGTATAATGGTGAGGGGGAAGAGGAATTTCACCTGGTGGTGCCCATCCTCCATCCGGAAGATGATGTTATCACTGTAGGTGTTGCTGCCATCGTGCAGATACACCACTTGCCCTGCTGCCAGGGCCACTGGTGTGAAATACTTGCACCCAGCAGGTGCCCCAAGCACCACCAACTGCCCATGTCTCAAGCCTCTGACTGCAGCCACTTTCACCTCTTCCAGTTTATCCTTATCACTTATTTGCAGGCTGTGGGTGCTGGCCAAGGGTTTTGACTGGCCTTCAAAAAGCAGTAGTCC